GTGACTGCGCACAGCACTCCAGCCTGGGTGGACAGAGCAAGACCCTGTCTCAAAATAACAAAAAAAAGGCCGGGCGCGGTGGCTCAAGCTGTAACCAGTCCCTTTGGGAGGCCGAGACGGGCGGATCACAGAGGTCAGGAGATCGAGGACCATCCTGGCTAACCCGGTGAAACCCCATCTCTACAAAAAAATACAAAAAAAAAAACAAACTAGCAGGCGACAGGTGGCGGCGCCTGTATAGTCCCAGCTACTCAGGAGGCTGAGGCAGGAGAGAATGGCTAAACCCGGGAGGCGGAGCTTGCAGTGAGCTGAGATCCAGCCACTGCACTCCAGCCACGGAGCGACAGAGCAAGACTACGTCTCAAAAAAAAAAAAAAAGAAAAGAAAAAACCGCCAGGTGCAGTGGCTCATACCCTGTAATACCAGCACTTTGGGAGGCCGAGCAGGCAGATCACAGGTCAGAAGTTCAAGACCAGCCTGGCCAAGATGGTGGAAACCCCATTTATTATAAAATACAAAATTAGCTGCGCCCAGTGGCACACGCCTGTAATCCAAGCTACTCAGGTGGCTGAGGCAGGGCGAATTGCTTGTGACAGGGATCTAGAGAGACAGAGGTTGTAGTGAGCAAGATCGCGCCACTGCACCCCGAGCCTGGGCTACAGAGCAAGACTCGGTCTCAAAATAACGAACAAAGAAACCCCCACAAAGCTCCAGAGTGTCAGAAAGCTCAGACTTTCTTAGCCATATGAAATAAACATGAATTCCAGTCCATATTTACAGTCGGTTCTTCGAAAAAAAAAAAAAAAAAAAAAGAAATATCTGTAATAAACATGTAAGAACTGATTCTTACAAGCTAAGAATTAAGCTGGCCTTGACAAATAAAGCAACCTGCTAAAAGTATTACTCTTCCGAGCTAAGAGTCCCTCATTATGTTAGCATATTAAAAAGTATACACAGGGTCCTGAAAAGAGGAGGGTTTCAAGATGCAGAGTATATGGCTTATAAATCTGATTTCAGACTAATGGGATTTCTGGGTGACCCAAGCCTTCCCCTGGGACCTTAAACTTACAATGGCTGACAAAGAGTAATATCAATACAGAGCTTCACTGCTCAAGAGCAATTAAAGATGCTCCATGGGAAGCAAAAATGATATACCCATGTGTTACAGTGTCATCAGATTTTCTTTCAAAGGGAAACTATGGATCTTCTAAAATTCACTGTTCCATTCTCAGAGGAAATGCAATTGTACCACATCATGTTATGATAAAATAATTATTTCCATAGAATTAAAAATATTTAATCACTTTTGCTTCTTTAAGTCATCTCATAATAAAGCACAAAGCTTTCTACTTTATAAGGGACATGCAGAGTTGTGTGATTAGCAGTAAAGAGGAGATCCCTCTTTTCACTTAGCTTTCTTTAAGTGAAAAGCTAATAAAGCTCATTTTATTTTACTAAGGAATAAATAATGAAAGAACCAATGGCTCAGCTCTTCAGGACTTTCCCCCTCCTCCACAGCACAGCATAAATAGAAACCATTCAACAAATTAAGAACTGTATCTACCCTGGCAAGAGCACGAGGCTAAAGCCAGAATTCCCCAGATTTGATACTAATTCTGTCTTAACTATCTCTGTGGCATTACACAACCATTTACTTCTGCTATTACTTCCTTAAACTTTAATTCTAAAAGTAATAATCAGTGGTATACTAAAATAACCTATTTGCGACCCCTTCAACTGCCAAAAGGCTGCAGTTACATCTAAGTTTCTGAGATTGCATTGATCCAATTTCACTTCTGATAATATAGGAAAAGGAAAAATACAATCACTTTTAATTTTTCAAGGCCAAATCTAAAGAAAGTTAAAAAAAAATCAAATACACACCTGTGCATGTATATACCCTTCACAAAATTATCTTGCTTTCCCTCTCATTGATGGTTAGGTCTCCAACTTGGGAACCTGCCTCTTCTCTGAACCATTTCAACTCAAAACCTAACGACCATAAAGTCCCCTATTCAGGAAACTTAAGACTCTACTACTTACTCTTTGTTTTCTTTTATTCTGCTCTGTGTTTGAGACTACTATATTTCATTAAAATACCTCTTTATTTAGTAAAATTATATTCTAAAATTAGATATATTTATATATAAATACAAAAAGTTCATAAAAACATATTCTTATATTCTGTAAATTGAGTAACTTACAGTACCACAGAATTTTAGCATGGAAACTGCCTTTAGCAACCATCTAATCTTATATCCTTCCTTCGCCGTATAAAAGAGAAGAAAAAATGATGCCCAGGAAAAGCTAAGTGATTTTGTTCTTCTGGTGGTATGATAAAATGGGCATGAGCTTTAGCATCAAACAGACCTGGGATCTGATTCTGGCCCAATATTTACAAGCTATGTGACTTTGAGAAAATTACTTAAATTTCTCTGAACCTCAGCCTCCTAATATGGAAAACAGCAGTATCATCCTAGTATTTGAAAGCACCTGGCACACATCAGATAATAAGTATTAGTTTCTTCCATCCAAAGTCATGTAGCAAACCAGTAACAGTGAACTGATCTCCTACCATGGCAGTTCCCTCTACACATCCTGCATCCTTTTGAATGAGAACTAGTAGCTCTGGTGTATTGTCAAGTTCAAAGGAACAAGAAAATGACTGCATTCCTGACACTAGCAACTGTGTTTTAATCCATAGCAACTAACACAATAAGACATGCTTTGCTGTTTATGGGATTAACTCAGAATTAAACTACAAACTGAATTGCCTACTACAGGCTTGAGATTTTTATGGAGATGGAGACAAATAAAACTATCTTGCTCTGAGGCACAGGACAGAAGAATCACAAAATATTAGCATACATAATTTGCAGACTGATTAGCTGTTTTAATTAATTTGCTTTATTGTACTAAAAAAATCAGTAACAACAACCAAAAAAGAGAATGGATATACTTACAATGTCTGAAGATTGGAAAGAAATCTAAATACACCATCAGCAATATGAGTGACTCTGTTGTCTCCCAAATTCAATCTCTCCAATAAGCTCAGACCCACAAAGGCAGATTCATCCAGGCGGGTCAGCTGGTTATACGACAAATCACTGAAAACAAGAAATGTGGAAGGTAAGGAATTCATTGTATTTGGTTCAACTTACAATTCTTATTACATCTACACGGTAAATTTAGAGCTTTCTACAAATTTCTAGTAAAGAGGGATGTTATATCTCATTACTGTCCATGGGAATGATTTATTTCAATCTGCTCTAGTCTCACAGCCTCCAGTGAAATGCTATCCAACACTTACAGTTCGGATAGTCTTTGGCAGAACTCCCATGCATCAGGGCTGATTCTTTCAATAGCATTCTGGCTCACATAGAGCTGCTGTAACATTCGCAAGCCATATAACCACCCCTTGTTCACTCGTGTAAGGTTATTGTGTTCCAGTTCTCTGCAGAATTAGAGAAAGAAGAAAATACGTTCCAAAACAAGGCAGTTCAATTAACTAGCTTTAAATCTTAAGTTTTTCCCAGAGAAGCATATATCTTTGTTCAAGCCAACTGAGCTGACCAATTCTATTCAATAAAAATGTATATTTTATTTAAGATTTAGTGCTTGGCTGGGCGCAGTGGCTCACGCCTATAATCCCAGCACTTTGGGAGGCTGAGGTGGGCAGATCACAAGGTCAAAAGATTGAGACCATCCTGACCAACATGGTAAAACCCTGTTTCTACTAAAAATACAAAAATTAACTGGGCGTGCCAGCACACGCCTGTAGTCCCAGTTAGGAAGCTGAGGCAGGAGAAAGGCTTGAACCCATGAGGCAGAGGTTGCAGTGAGCCAAGACCGCGCCCCTTGTACTCCAGCCTGGCAACAGAGCAAGACTCCATCTCAAAAAAAAAAAAGATTTAGTGCTAGAAGATACTAAGACTGTCTAAAAGAGCAGCTCTACAAAACCAACAGGCCAAGTGGTATAGTATACCCATTTGGATAAATTCTGATAATTTTCATTAACTAAAACATTAAGAATATAAACTTTTTGCCCTGGTGCAGTGGCTTGCGCCTGTAATCCCAGCACTTTGGGAGGCTGAGGTGGGTAGATGACGAGGTCAGGAATTTGAGACCAGCCTGACCAACATGGAGAAACCCCGTCTCTACTAAAAATACAAAAATTAGCCAGGGCTGGTGGCACGCGCCTGTAATCCCAGCTACTCAGGAGGCTGAGGCAGGAGAATCGCTTGAACCCGGGAGGCGGAGGTTGCAGGAGCTGAGATCACGCCATTGCACTCCAGCCTGGGCAACAGAGTGAGACTCCGTCTCAAAAAGAAAAAAAAAAGAATATAAACTTTTTAGATGAGAAGTTTGTAAGAATTATTTCAAAAATGATCAGTTAGCTAACAAAACTTTAAAGGTTTTATGTACACTTATTTCACATCAGTGAGCAGGGAAAGAATGAACATATCTCTATAATTATAATCAGAACAACTATCCTAGCCATTTGACATTGAAAAGTCCCAGACAGACTACTTTCCTAATAATCACCTCTAGTCCCGAGTACTTACAGTTCTTCCATGTTATTTAAGCCAAAAAATGCTCCATCCTTAAGTTTGCTAATTCCATTCCGCTGCATTTTCAAAGATCTTAAGGAGTCAAGCCCTTGGAATGTAAGACCTTCCACAATTTTAATTCTGTTTCTTTTAAGTTCCCTTTAACAAAAATAGTTTTAGAGTCAGGAAATTGGTTTGCTGAAATGCTCTAACGGTAATTAAATTAAAAAGAAAAAGACCCTGTAACAAAAAAACTATCTTTTATAATCCAACTATTTCGTTACTCACAAGAATTGGAGGTGAGGCAGCTTGAAGATCTTAGGTGGAATCATGCTAATTCGGTTACGGTTTAACTTTACCACTAATAAGGAACTCGATAAATTATCGAAGCAGCCAGCCTCCAAGGTGGTTATCCTGTTATTACTTAAATTCCTAAAATAAACAAGATAATAGCAAAAGAAAACATTTAGTAAAATAAAAATTCTACCACTAGAAAGCTGCCAAATATCTATGTATAAGCCCCCAGCTATCACTTAATGACTATCCACAACTTTATAAATCATTTAAATGCTCTGTTTCTTCATCTATGGAGGCTACCTACTTCATTTAGGTTGTTACGAAACAGCATGTGTGAATATGCTCTGTAAACTGGAAAACACTGGCACACATGCTAATTATCATTATATACGGTAAGCCATTGTTTAACAAATCTCTATTTACCTTTTAGAAAGCTTGGTTTAAAAAACAAAAAAAATTGAATCTCAAAATTACCCTTGATATTTACCAGTATTTTCTGACAATAGTGCGATCTTTCTTTAGGGGGCTTGTGGGGTGGGTGGGCAAAGCCAACCACCCAATATACCAACCCTAGGTTTGTCTTACATATGCATATAAAAAGCACAATAAATAAATACTTTTGAAAAGATAGGTACTGATGAATAATAAACATGTGCTTTAAAGTAAATCTAATTTAATCTGTGTTACTTACAGGTATTTAAGCTGCATGTGAGGAAATGAAGATGTCTTGATTTCTGATATTATATTTGAGCTGAGGTCTAAACTCTGCAGAGCAGGGTAAAACTGGAGCTCCTGTGCATTTATTTCTGGGATTATATTATGGACTCTGTAAAACAAAGATTATAATGAAGCTGCTGCCACTGGATCCACCCCAGGCCACAAAAACGTTAAATAATTAGAATCAACAATATATGTGCTTTAAAAGAAAAAAAAAAAACTGTATACTATTCATAATTTAAATAAAAAACCTGAAAACTTATTAACTTACAATGAAAGTAGAGTAATATTAGACGTTGGTTCTCCAAAATACGGGATTTCTGTTAGTTCATTGTAATTCATTTTCCTAGGCAAGAGGAAAAACAGATTTAAATGTTTAGTGAGGGAAATATTACCTCTTGAATTCTACCATCTGGCTAACACATATTCTTTAGAATAGGTGCCAAATTTGAAAAATAATTATGACTCAGAATGAGTTAGACTAAAATAAAAATGTAGTTATTGAGAAATTAGAGGTTTTAATGAGAAATTTTAATTTTTAAATTAAAATTTAATTTTAAAGTTATTTTCTTTCTTTCTTTTTTTTTTTTTTGAGACAGAGTTTCATTATTTTTGCCCAGGCTGGAGTGCAATGGTGCAATCTCGGCTCACTGCAACCTCTGCCTCCTGGGTTCAAGTGATTCTCCTGCCTTAGCCTCCTGAGTATCTGGGATTACAGGCATGCACCACCACGCCTGGCTAATTTTGTATTTTTAGTAGAGACAGGTTTCACCATGTTGGCCAAGCTGATCTCAAACTCCTGACCTCAGGTGATCCGCCCACCTTGGCCTCCCAAAGTACTGGGATTACCGGTGTAAGCCACCACGCCTGGCCAAGAAATGTGTTTTCATAGTGTTGATCTACTATTGGTATTAATATCAGAAAGGCTACGAAGTATTTTCCACATTAAATATTGTTAGTTCAAGCAAAGTTCTTTGAATAAGTTGGGTTTACGACAGCTAATTTGAGTCCTTAAACAAAGAAGGCATAATCAGTCCATCCAGATCTCTCTTTCTCTAAATATACATAAACACACACATATAAATGTGTGTGTGTATATATATATTCTGAAGCTATACAAATGTTAGAGAGTGTTACTTGAGACCACAGATGAAATTTATCAGCCCACCCAGAGATGGAATCTATGACTAATTTTACAGATAACATAACGTGTTGCATCTGATCCCAGCAGCCCTTTAAACAGATTGTCTCAAATGTTTTCGTAGCAAATCTAATACAATCACATTTCATTAACCTGGTTTTTAGTCATTGAACAACCTCAACAATCTCAACAAAAGAGCACAGAAAAGAAACCAGAACTAAAGACCTTCAGGAAACCAACCAAAGTTACAAAAAGCCCATGCACTTCCCACTGAAGCATTTTCAGGTCTTTCCTCAGTGCCTACTCTTTCAGCTAACAAACTTGTCAACTGTGTACTCATCCACAACACATTAGAAGTAGTGAATTTGGGGCTAGGAGGAGAGAATGCAGAGACAATGAGCATGAAGAAGGTATCCCTGTCAGCAAAGAATTAAAAAGGAAAGTAAATCTCAGGGTTCCGAGGGTGTTAAGTCTAGAGGCAAATAGGCCTACATACCTTAATGGTTGTGCCTGTAGGAATGTAACAATGCTCTAGGAGTGTAACGATGCAAAAACTAATATTAATAATATCTTAGAAAACTCCCTCCAAAATTACATAATACATCTCGGTATTAAAGGAAAAATCTTAGTTAAGAGAAAAACTGAATTCTATCAACCATTACATTCTCATACGATATCAAGATGATTCTATTTCATATAAATCTACTTTAGACATGATGCTCCCAATCCTAGATAACATGTCAAGACATTTAAAAAGGTTATACAACAGAGTTTCACTGGCTGAAAACTTGGCCAAAATCAAAACATAATTTGCTCTGAAGAGGTGTAAATCTTACTTTTAGCCCCAGGAAGGTAAAATATTTCCCCACAGCCTGCAACTTGAAATCACCAACCCAATGCCAAGACAGTCTGATAATAACAAAGTCAAAACATTTTAGGTTTTCAAATTATTTCTTTTAACTAATTTTTTTCCTTCAATTTTTTTATGGCATCTCTGGATTGAACATCCCGCAAATCACAATTTATTAAGTTCCCTCAGGAATTTAACATAACTTTAAATAAATAAAAATAACTTACACTTCCTGTAACATCTGTGATTCCAAGCTGATGTTCCAGTTAGACAACCGATTATGACTCAAATCCCTGAAAGAGGACAAAATGTCATTTTTAGTTTAGTGCTGGAGAGTAGACCTAAAGAAAAAAAAAAAAGAAACCGAAAAGAAATACTAAAAGTCCTCTTGGCCAGGTACAGTGGCTCATGCCTGTAATCCTGGCACTTGGGGAGGCTGAGGCAAGCGGATCACCTGAGGTCAGGAGTTCAAGACTCACCTGGCAAACATGGTGAAACCCCATCTCTACTAAAAATACAAGTATCAGTCAGGTGTGGTGGCACATGCCTGTAATCCCAGCTACTCGGGAGGCTGAGGCAGGAGAATTGCTTGAACCCGGGAGGTGGAGCACTCCAGCGTGGGTGACAGAGCAAGACTCTGTCTCATAAAAAAGTGTTTTTAATTTAAAAAAAAATAAAAGTCCTATTAAATGTGAATTTGAGACAAACAAGAATGTAAAGGATGAATAAAAATATATCTCAATTTAAAAATAGCTATTTTACTTTACGTGTGTGTGTATTTATATATGTGTGTGTAGCTTCCGAGTTTGGGAATACATTCACATGGTCCAATAATCAAAAAGTGTAAAAAGTCTCCCACTTTTGTCTCCAGCCACCCAATTCCCCTTCCCAGTAACAACAAATGAAAATATGCCATTTCGGCCGGGTGCGGTGGCTCAAGCCTGTAATCCCAGCACTTTGGGAGGCTGAGACGGGTGGATCACGAGGTCAGGAGATCGAGACCTTCCTGGCTAACATGGTGAAACCCCCTCTCTACGGGGGTGGCGGGCGCCTGTAGTCCCAACTACTCGGGAGGCTGAGGCAGGAGAATGGCGTAAACCCGGGAGGCGGAGCTTGCAGTGAGCTGAGATCCGGCCACTGCACTCCAGCCTGGGCGACAGAGCGAGATTCTGTCTCAAAAAAAAAAAAAAAAAAAAAAATATGCCATTTCTTGTGCAGACTTCTAGATATTTTATGCATGTACAGCAAAGTTTTACAGAAATGATAAAACAATTTACACATTATTTTGCCCCTTGCTTTTTTCACTCAGTAATACATCTTAGACCATTCCATAGCAGTATATAGTTTCTTTATTCCTTGTAGTGATTATGTATTATACCTTAACTGTAAATACATTCGAAGATATATTTCACAAGTCAAAATGGTGAGCTTCTGTATTAAAATTGAAGTTGACCACATCCTTGATAGGGATGTGGCCTTCCTTTAAAAAAAAAAAAAAAAAAAAAGGCCAGGCATGGTGGCTCACGCCTGTAATCCCAGCACTTTGGGAGGCCAAGGCAGGTGGATTACCCCAGGTCAGGAGTTCAAGACCAGCCTGGCCAACATAGTGAAATCTATCTGTACTAAAAATACAAAAAAATTAGCCAGGCGTGGTGGCATGCACCTGTAATCTCAGCTACTCGGGAGGCTGAGGCAGGAGAATCACTTGAACCCTTGAGGCGGAGGTTGCAGTGAGCCAAGATTGCACTACAGCCCTCCAGTCTGGGTGACAAAGCAAGACTCTGCTCCAAAAAAAAACACAATCCACCTTCAGGAAAAGGAAATTAATCTCACCCCAAATTATGTTAATAATAATGACGGCATTGGTGGCTAGCATTTATTAAGGCAGGCATTCTTCTATGCACTTGACACATACTAACTGGCTAAATCCACACAACAATCTTATGAGGCAAATACTTTTAAAATACTCACTTTCCCAATATGGAAACAGGCATAGAAAGATTACTAATTGGTCAATCTAAGGTCAAAACAACCAATAAAAGTTAAAATTTTGAAATTTCATCTCACTTCTAGCAAGTACTTTATTAGATACAGTAGAGATTTCACTGAAATTAGTTAAGTCTAAATAGTTAAATAGGCTTTAAAAATTCACCTTGATGCTTCTGGCATCTTTACAAGGCTGAGGTGGAATGCAGCCCACACAAGCTGTCTGCCTAAAAGATGTACTATATGTTACAAGATGGCTAGCAACAGGGACACATTACAGAAACACTGCAGATCACTTTATCTCACTGTGCCACTGTAGGCAGTTGACAGACGCATGCAGGTCTGAAGAATGTCTCTATCACATTAGAACAATTTGTTCTCAGCTAGATTCATGCCTGCCCATCTGTAAAAGCTAGCCACTTTCATTTAAGAGCTTAATTTACACCATGACATAACAGAAGCTGTGTGTTAAACCATCACTTTTCCACAGCAGTTCTAAAATATGCCAGGATGTCTGGCACAAGGTATCAGCTCAAGGACACTCATGAAAGGAGGAGGGTGTCAGAAAATATAAAGGATAAAAATATGAATTCACTACACATAAAAATCTCATATTCAGATACTTCATCCAATTCACACTTCCTACTAAACAACAAACACATACACTTGTATAAAAATATAAGTGAAAAGATGTTTTTTGTTGTCGTTTTGTGGTGTTTTGACTCAAGGAGAAATTCAACTGTTCTAATTTAAGTTAGGTATTCTGATATTGCCTACCTCCAAGCTGCTTAGTCTGGCAAATGAAAGAGCTAATAATCATCTGCTGTAGGCAGGCTAGCATAGTATGATCTAATTTTGTATCTTGTGACCTACTAAACTTTAGCCAGTTTTCCCCTTCCAGATTAAGGGCTTTCATTTTAATCCTAACCAGTGTTCATAATGCCTTTTCCCACACACTAAATCCTTCTAGCAATGTAACTCTTGACTGTATTCATCCCCTAGAGTTCTCTATGAATCAAATAATCAATAGACTCACACAATCATTTTTAAAGAAATAATTATTAAAGAACCTAAAGCAATATAAATTAAACTCAATTTATACGTTTACAAATAAACTTAGTATTTGGTACTAGTGAAAACTGTCCAGTGTCCTCTGTTTTTGGGAAAAGAGTAATTTTCTTCTCATCTTTGAAGAAATCTATAGGCTTTTCAATGCAACCCAAAGGATACCTGAAATTCTCTGCAGCCTGTGTAACTGGATAATGTTGTTGAAAGGATATATGCTTTCAAGGCAGCCTCATAGGTCAAGGCCCCATATAATGAGGCTCCTCTAGACCCTTTCTAAAACCCACATTCAGTTAAGATTAAAAAAACACTAAAGGTGAACTGAAATATATTCCCAAAGCAGTACTATCATAGAAAGCAACTAA